AACCCACGGGCTCAGGCAATCCACTCACCTCAGTCTCCCAAAGGCGCGGGATTACAGGCTGAGCCACCGAGCCCGGCTAAAACCTGTGTTTTGATAAAGGCGGTACAAGGAAAAAAATTATGTATTTTTTTATAAACACCCAGCTACTGACCTTTTTATTTGGAGGTGAAAGCTTTTTTAAGGAAAGTGTCATAGAGAGTTTTAGAGTTTCAGAGTGAAAAGTCTTAAATTAACTAACCAAATAGCAAATTAACTTATTCAATCAAAAGACTTAATGAATACCTAAGAGATTTCTGTGCTTACTTAGTGAACACAGACAGAGATGGTCACTGTCTCATTGTGTCCACAGTTTAGGGAGTGACAGGCAATAATCAAGTAATTTAAAAACAATTCTATAACTGTGAAGTAAAACAAACTGTGGCAAGTCTACGGAAGGAGATGATAGAGCCCATGAGGGCCAGGTACTGTCAAACACACACAGTTACCTAAGGACGTGGCAGTCTGGGTCAGGGACATGATGGCAGCCTTAAACAAGGTCTGTATAAAAGGAAGACTTGTGAAGAAAGGAGAACAGTTGTATTTTGAGTTGTGGTAGCCCAGTTGTCCAGGAGCTAGTTTCTCCACTTCCTTTTTCTCCTGTTTCTCAGGGCTGGCAGTTGGACCTTTGCACTGTTCTGGCTCCACCATCGAAATCAAACAAGCCGGGTTCGGTGGCTCAGCCTGTAATCCCACGCCTTTTGGAGGCTGAGGTGAGTGGATTGCCTGAGCCTGCGGGTTCGAGACCCGCCTGGGCACCAAGACCTCATCTCCACAATAAATAAAAAAAATCAGCCGGGCGTGGTAGCGCATGCCTGTAATTCTGGCTACTCGGAAGGCTGAGGAGGAAGGATCGCCGGAGCCCAGCAGGTCGAGGCTGCGGTGGCCGGGAGCGGCCACTGCACTCCAGTCTGGGCGACAGAGTGGGACTCCAACTCAAAAAAAAAAAAAAAAAAGAATCACAATAAATCCAGGTGCTGTTTGTTTTGCTGCCTGCCCCTGCTCCCAGCCCTACTGCTAGGCTCAGGCTCTCAATATTTCTTTTCTTTCCTTTTTTTGGAGTAGGCATCTCACTGTCACCCTGGCTGGAGTGCAGTGGCAAACTCACAGCCACCGCAGCCTCAATCTACTGGGCCCAGGTGATCTTTCTTCCTCAACCTTCCAAGTAGCTGGAACCACAGGCATGTGCTACCATGCCCAGCTGATTTTTTTGTAGAGATGAGGTCTCACCGTGTTACTCAGGTTGGTCTCAAACCCCTGAGCTCAGGTAATCCTCTCGCCTTTGCCTTCCAAAGCCATGGGATTATAGGTGTGAGTCACCCCGCCTGGCTGACCCTCAATATTTCTTCCCGCAAGATTTAGAACTAGGTAAAAAAGAGAAATGACTTGCTTTTGGCATAATTGTAGGCCATGCAATGAAAATGTGTTTCTCAGTGCTCAGGGAGGCCGTTGCCTTTTCCACTTGCTGTATTTGGGTTAACTATACCTTTCATGTCTCTGAGTAGTCCTTGATAAACATTTAGAATAGTAGTCAGTTGCAGTGGAAAGAGTGTGGAGTTTGGAGCTAGGACAGGTTCCGGTGCGTTTAAACCTTTGCTGCGCCAGTCACTGGTGGCCCAAGCAAGTGACTGAAGGCCAGAAACCTCAGGTCCTCAGCCGTAACTCCTTCCTGGGCATGGTCTGAAGGCCAAATGAGATTTCAGGACTGAAGATTCAGAGCCCTGTGGTGAATGGACAGATATTTCACCAGCACTAGCTGGTTAACAGTACTCATCTTGCTACAAATGCACTTAATATACGTTGTTAATATTGCACAGCTTGAATTTTATCGGGTACTCTGCTAAAGATATAGCAAAGAGCACTGACCCAGATGGCCTGGATTTAGATCTGGTCCTGTTCCCCGTGGGGCTATATGACCTTGGGCTGGTCACTTAACTTCTGAGTTTCAGTGTACAGTGAAGGCAAGAGTAATAACCTTGTGTGTTTCACAAGATTGTTGGGGAACCCAGAAGAGATGTTGTATAAGAAAGCAGTATGAGCCGGGCTCGGTGGCTCAGCCTGTAATCCCGCACTTTGGGAGGCAGAGGTGAGTGGATTACCTGAGCCCACGGGTTCAAGACCTGCCTGGGCAAGTTGGCAAGACCTCATCTCTACAATAAATCAAAAATTAGCCGGGCGTGGTAGCGCGCGCCTGTAGTTGTGGCCACTTGGAAGGCTGAGGCGGAAGGCTCGCCGGAGCCCAGCAGGTCGAGGCTGTGGTGGCCGGGAGCGGCCACTGCCCTCCAGTCTGGGCGACAGAGTGAGGCTCCAACTCAAAAAAAAAGAAAGAAAGCAGTATGTATTATGTAACACACTATACACGCAGGGTGGGGCAGAATAGAACTGTTTTTGTGGAAACAAGAATGTTCCCTCCTTCCATGTGGCATCAAAAGGACCCATGGGTCCCTCAGTGCCCTTGGATGAGAGTCATCTGAGTGGCGCTTTGGAAGTCGTTGACCGCGACAGAGTCCCTACTGTCCTCTTTCCCCTCAAGGCCCAGCCCCGTCTTCTTGGCTTGCCCGATGAATCCGGAGCCGATGAATCCGGAGATCATTTCTTTATTAGGAGAGAGGGAAGTGCCTCCATGTTGACTGGGGCTCCTTTTTCACTGCCACCTCTGGGCATTGCACTCCCTTCCCCCAGGCTCTTACCTCCCCCGCCCTGTTTTCTTCATGCTTTCAAAGGGA